TTCGATCCCAAGTGTCCCCCTTCCACTTTCATGTCACATGTCTATTATCCTCCACACACTCCTCCCTTAGAACCTCTTTTTGCTACTGTAATGGGCGGGTCCTTTTCTAGTTTCCTGGTCTCAGCTCACACTCACTCCCATGTGAATATATGAAAAATTATGTAAAAATATGTAAATATGTAAACATTAAAAGCTAGGATCCACACATGAGAGGACACATGATCTTTGTCTGAATCTGGGTTACCACACTCAACACGGTATTTTCCAGTTGAGTCCATTTTCCTGCAAATTCTTTTTTTTCGTTTTTCTTTATTAAGAAATTTTCTACTCACTCCACATACCATCCACAGATCCCCCCCTCCTCCCTCCTCCCACCCCCCAGCCTTCTTTCCCAAGCCACCCCACATCCCCACATCCCCCAAATCGAGGTCTCCCATGGGGAGTCAGCAGAGCTCAGCACACTGAGCCTAGGCAGGTCCAAGCCCCTTCCCACTGCACCAAGGCTGTGCAAGGTGTCACACCACAGGCACCGGGTTCCAGAAGCCTGCCCACAGACCAGGGACAGATTCCGATCCCCCTGCCTGGGTGCCCCCCAAACAGTTCAAGCCAAACAACTGTCTTCCATATCCAGAGGCCCTAGTTCAGTTCCATGGGGGCTCCACAGCCACCAGACCACAGTTCATGGGCTTCCACTAGTGTGGCCGGTCATCTCTGCACATCCTCCCATCATGATCTCTACATCCCTCGCCTGCAGAATCCCTCCTCTCTCTCTCATTGATTGGATTCCCGGAGCTCAGCCTGGTGCCTGGCCATGGATCTCTGTATCTGCCTCCATCTGTCAATGGACAAAGGCTCTATGATGACAGCTAGGTTATTCACTAGAACGGTCACCAGAGGAGACCAGTCCAGGCACCCTCTGGACCACTGCCAGCAGACCAAGGTGGGGTCATCCTTGTGGATTCCTGAGAGCCTCCCCAGCACCCTGCCTCTTCCTATTCCCATGATGTCCTCATCTATCATGGTTATCTCCCTCTCTGCCCTCCCACTCTGTCCCTGTTCCAGGTTGACCCTCCCATTTTCCTATGTTTTCATCCCCCACTCCTCGCCCTCTGCCCCCCCCACACACACACCCAGTCCGCTCATGTAGATTTCATCTACTTCTCCTTTGCAGGGTCATCCAAGTGTCCCTCCTAGGGTCTTTCCCTGTTAGCTAGCCTCTCTGGAGTTGTGGGTTCCTGCAAATTCTTTAATTTCATTTTCCTTTTTTGCTGAATAAAATTCCATGGTGTCTCTGTGCCATATTTTCATCATCTCTTGATGGACAGCTAGGCTGATTCCATATCTTTTCTATAATAAACACCTCTTAGGCTAGAGCCCAGACTGAATAAAAAGGGCAGAAGGAGAAAGCCAGCTGAGCACCGGCCTTCCTCTTTCTCTGCTCTCAGCAACTCTTGGTCATCCGTCATCATGTCTTTTGCACACTCTCAAACTTCACATCCTCCCACATCACTGACTTAAAACCTTCTACTGACTCATGACCAATAAACATGGCTGTACACGTATCTCCATGGTAGGATATCCTTTGGACATTTTGCCCAAGAATAGTGTGGCTAGATCATAGGCAGTTCTGTTTTTAGTTTTTGAGAAGCCTCCACTCCGATTTCCATGACGATTACACTAGCTTAGACCCATCAACGGTGAATAAAGATTTTTTTTCCTCACATACACACCAGTCTTTGTTGTACTCAGTTTCTCAATGGCAGCCATTCTGCCTGGAATGATAGAATCTCGAGGAAGTTTTAATTTGCATTCCTGTGATGCCTAAGAATAGGGAAAAATACTAAAAGTATGTAATGGCCATTCATATTTCTGCTTTAAAAAAAACTGTGTAGTTCATTAGCCCATTTTATAGACTAAAAGTTTTGGGTTTGGTGTCAAAACTCCAGTAACATTCTTCATAGATTCTAACAAGAGAAACCCCAAACCTAAAATCTGTATGGGAATAGAGAGAGCCCAGAAATCCTAAGGAAGAAGAACATGGCCAGATGAAACACAATAGCTGAGCTCAAACTACAGGCGGGGCCACAGTGACAGACAGCATGATATGGGCACAAAAAGACATGAACCAATGGGATACCATGGAAGACCCTGGAATAAACCCACACAGCATACATACCTAATTCATGACGATGTGTCAAAAATGCTAGAAAAAGAGACAGCCTATTCAATAAGTGATGTCAGCAAAATTAGGATGCCCTCTGTAGAACAAAAGCAAATCCACTCTGTTCCTGCACAGATAGCGATGCTAAATGGATCAAGGACCTTAATTTAGAACCTGAAGCACTGAATGTGCTCAAGGAAAACACCTAAGTAAACACTTCAGGATAAACATAGAAGCGAGAACTTTCTGGACAGAACCCCAATAACACAAGAAGCCCCAAAATTTAACAAATGAAATTATATAAAGTTAGAAGACTTCTGAGTCTCAAAAGAAACTATCAGCAGGGTAAACAGAGAGCCCACAAAGGGGAGAAAATCTTCCCCAGCTATACTTCAGACAAGGGGTCAATATCTAGAATATATAAAGAACAACAAAAATTAAACACCCGAAAACTAGATGTTCTTTTGACAAGTGAATTTGCCACACATCACTGTCTTTGCCATGTGTGATGTAAATCATGTTCGTAAACTGCCATGTGCTATTTGAACTCACTGAGAAGCTGGCCCTGGATGTGGGGCTTTGCTCTCCCTTCCCATTTCAGACCCAAGCATATTTGTCCAAGGTCCCTTATCTACTGATGGGCTGTCCCCCAACTCTATAACAAAACTCCACATGACAGTGGGGGTGGCCTACTCCCTGATGCCAAGCAGGAAGCAGAGAAGGGGATGTCAGTGCTCAGCTGGTTTTTCCCTTTTTTTTTCTTTTCAGTCTGGGACTCCAGCCATTGGGATGGTGCAGCTCACCCTCAGGATTTGTGCTCCATGTTTCTTAATCCAATCAAGCTGGCAATTGAAATTAGCCACCATAGGAGGCTAGGGAATTGCCACCGAGGAGACATTTGGATTTGGTCATGAATCAGTAGGAGGTTTAGAGTCAGTCAAGCAGGAAGACATTAGAGTTGGATTAGCATACTTTCTCTTCATAGTTCAGAGAATGACCTATGATAGCCATATCTGTAGTTTGTGAATGAGTGAGTTTATTAAGAATATAGCAATCCAAAGTAAGAACAAATAGCTAAGAAAACACATCAAACCAGGCACTCAGAACTGCAGCAGAAATTGACTATGAGGACTCCTTAAAGGCAGTCACCTGGCGTTCCCAACAGAGCCGGTCCTGGGCAGAGCGGAGTGTCACCTCAGGTGAGGCTTCCAAGACAACAAAAGGTAACATCATCAAATTGGGCACTCACAGTCTCCAGCAGAGACTAGATGGAAGAAGGCAAAACTGCCCAAAAGTGAAAGCACTGTGCCCTTGAAAACAGCTAAAAGGTAAATCCTTTCCAACAGAGGTTATTATTGCTCATCCTGTACTATAAAATGCCTGCAGTGGGAAAAAAAGAGACTGGGGATTCAGCCATGAGATGCTGAGCCATGGAGAAAAAGCTTAGTGGGAAACTCCAACTGCCTCACCTTCCCAATCTCTGCTGGAGGTTCTGAGTGCCCAATTTGATGATGTTACCTTTTGTTGTCTTGGAAGCCTCACCTGAGGTGACACTCTACTCTGCCCAGGACCGGCTCTGTTGGGAACGCCAGGTGACTGCCTTTAAGGAGTCCTCATAGTCAATTTCTGCTGCAGTTCTGAGTGCCTGGTTTGATGTGTTTTCTTATCGCTATACTATTAGCTATTTGTTCTTTTACTTTGGATTGCTATATTCTTAATAAACTCACTCATTCAAAACTGCGGATATGGCTATCATAGGTCATTCTCTGAACCATAAAGAGAAAGTATGCTAATCCAACTCTAATGTCCTCCTGCTTGACTGACTCTAAACCTCCTACTGATTCATGACCAAACCCAAATGTTGTCTCCTCGGTGACAATTCCCTAGCCTCCTATGGTGGCTAATTTCAATTGCCAGCTTGATTGGATTAAGAAACATGGAGCACAAATCCTGAGGGTGAGCTGCACCATCCCAATGGCTGGAGTCCCAGACTGAATAAAAAGGGAAAAACCAGCTGAGCACTGACATCCCCTTCTGCTTCCTGCTTGGCATCATGGAGTAGGCCACCCCCGCCGCCGTCATGCCTTCCACACCATAACAGGATGCACTTCTCTGAACTGTGAACCAAAAGGAGCCTTAAATTACTATTAGGTACCGATCACAGCAAAAATTGTGATACCACTGAATGAAAATATGCCTGTGATGTGTAGAATTTTATGTTTCTGAGTAGCCTCAAAAAGTAAAAAGAATATTATAAATTTTAATAATATATTTCATTTAGTCAGGTAATCCAAGTCACTCAAATGCATAATGCAAAAAGGATGTAATATTTTCCCACTAACTCCTCAAACTTCAATCTGTATCTTTCATGAAGAGTATATTTTAAATTAAGACACTATACTGTCATCAAAAATAATTACTAGTATATACATGTAGCTACATAATCACTAATCCAAGATTTTGATTTATAAAATGTACAGTTGAAAAAGTAGATTCACATTCCAAAGTTGTTTTAAATCTACTTGAAAGTTTTCTGATAACCGAGTTAAATATGTTCTTGGTTTTATACTGAAATAAAAATCAAGTAATAAAACTTGGTTCCATGGTCTCAGCAGCTGCATCTCTTTTCCACACACTAGGATGCAGCTAGTGACTGTTATACTGGGCACTGAAGCTTTGCCAAAATTGTTCGTGCATTTATTGCTCTTCCTCACTAAAAGGCTCTGAGTTGCTCCGATCTTCCTCACTGCCTAGTGTAAATAAGGCTTGAGTCATAAATGGTGAAAGTTTGTTGAGTCAATAAAAATAAACATGCAAATCATTTGAATCTTCTGCAAGATGAAATTGAGAGAATTCTTTTGTACAGACTATAAACAGCATTTTTATGAATATATACACACACAACTCCTCATACATATAGAAGCACAACTGCAGCATGAACCAGGATATAGAAACAGGATATAGAAACAACCTAAATGTTCACAAGAACATTTAAGATATAGAAACAACTTAAATGTTCAGACTGATGAATAGAGTGGTATATGTATATAATGCAATACTACGCAGCCTTTAAAAGGAACAAATCCTGCCTTACAGGACCATGTGAATGAACCCAGAGAACACTGTAGTAAGTGAAATAAGCGAGTCACTAAAGGGCAGGCATTGCATCTCCACTTCCATGGGGTGTCTCTAACAGTCAAACTCAGAAGCAGAAAGCAGCTACTGTCAGAAGCTGTGGAGAGGAGTGAGTGTGACTTCAACAGCATGTGGGCAAGTCCTAGAGAGCTGCCACAATATTGTGTATGGTTTGTAACATTCAACTGTGTTGTGTGCCCAAGCATTTAAGATGCTGGCTCTCATGTGAAGTGTTCATATCACAGGAGAAGAAAAAGAACAATAGCAAAGAGCCAAACAAAGCAGCAGCAAATATCCTCCGTGGTGTGTAGTGTTAACCATGGGGGAGCGGAGAAAGGGAATGTATGGCAACTCTACACTTCCTAAGACTAGGCTAAAACATAAAGTCTACTTAGAAAAGATACCAAGTCCATTTGTTACTGATTTCTTCAATAATAAACATTCCATACATACCTACCTCATCCTCTCCTCTTCATCCATCCCTACTCATTCCCTTGGCAACTGTCTGCAGTTATAACTACTACTCCATAACATACTACTCCATTTATTTTCATTTATTACTAGTGGGGGGAAGGGTGTGTATGGGTGTGCATTCTCTGGTACCCACATGGAAGTCAGGGGACAGCATTATGGAGTCATTTCTGTCCTTCTGCTTTACATGGCTCCAGGGACAGAGCTAAGGTCATCAGCTTGCCCAGCAAGCACCTGTGTGGGGCCCTCTCACCAGCTGCCATGATGTCATTTCACATTCTCAAGTTGCTCTGCTTTTCCAAGCCTAAACTTCTGGAGACATAGATCACTCACTGTCCTTTGCAGCCATCATACATGGATTAATGGTACAGTTTTTAATCCCAGAACTCCATGCATAGCATTAAAATCAGTTCTTCAGTGCCTTCCTTTTCAATGATGCTTAATCTCTCAACAACCACACGGATAAATACCAACATCTCCGGTACTATCTGGACACATGGGACCAAAGACCTACATATATAAGTGATTCTATTCATTATAATAATGTTTGGAATGTGTGATTGTCCTTCACCTCTAATAAGATGGGTTCATATTCCCAGGCTTCAGTACTACACACACATACCCTGGTACAGTGCCCTCATCAAACGCAGATTCAGCAGCCTCTCCCTCTCCATTTCCCTCTCCCATCTTCCCAACCAATCACAGGACACAGCAATGGGACGGAAGAGAATTCAGAAGTGGAAGTGATATCTTCAGTCTTGGTTACTTTGTGTCCTGCTGACAAACAACAGTGATAAATGAATGCAGATGTGTACATTTCCACAAAGGAAATCAGTTGGTGTACGCTTTATTCTAATGTTGGTTGAGTATGAACAAAATAAAACTAAATACAAAGACATCTATTGACTCAGTCATGGGGCTCACAAAAGTCTGTATTGGTATCCATTCTCTTCTGCTTGGCCCGCTCTTGGATGGTTGCTAACTCTCCAGCAGTGAACTTGGGAGTGAGAGTCACGTTGTCATAATCAAATTCTTCATCAAGAAAGAAGGGTTGCACTTCATCTCCAAATATCTATAAAGGTACCGAAGGAAGAAAGAAACACAGTCACTGAAGTGAAGATGAAGTTGAAAACATAAACAGCTTATTAATATTGAATGAAACTTTTTTTAGACGTTCGGCACTCTCAGCTGATTAAGCTGTTTTTAAGTAATGAAATAAATTCAATTATTCAATTTGACCTAATTTAAGCCTCTTAATATGCCCCATTTGATCACACTGTATCTGAATAAGTATCATTAACTAATTCTGCCCCCAAGGCAAGAATCAGATCTGCTTTGCACAAATTCATTTCATTCCTTGCCACACTGCAGTGTCAGAGACAGAGGCATATGGGAAAGCTAGACACTCCATTAAACAACAAGAAATACACCTTAAGGTCTTGACCAACCTTTTCACCATTTGCTAAAAAATATCTGTTAATGAAGCAATCGTTCCAAATGAAATTAAAAACACCTTGCATTTACCATACTCAAAAAAATAGTCATACCCCTGTCTAATAACAGGAGAAATTAAAACACACATGATCAAATTTAAAAGTCCAGCATCCCTTTTCTTCCTTTTTACATATTACACTTTGACCTGCAAAGAAAGGTAGTATTTTGTACATGTTTATACAAATGAATGAGTTTTAAAGACTGTCTAAAGGATGAGCCAGTCAAAGCACATTTCCCAAGGCTGACGGTGAAACTCAGCTGATAGAGTGCTTGCCTGACGTGTGCAAGATCCTGTGTTTGGTCCCCAATATGGGAAAGGGTTTCTTTCTTTGTTCATTTGTTTGTTTTTTAATATACAGTACATGTTCCAGTAAAGAGAAAAGAATGCCTTAAATCTCAATAATTCACCCCTTGAAAAATGCCACCCAAAGCCAATGATATGAGATACAACGAAATCACGCAGCGCCTCATCAACTCTGTATGTATGGTGGTGCGGAAATAATTGAAAACTGGCTTAGGCAAAAATGAAAAATGCCCTGAAGCTAGCTAGTGCCAGCTTTAAAGGCTCTTGCATGGAAGAAGTTCTCCCTGAGGAGCTTCTGCAGCATGTGTGAAAAAGGAACGTGCTGCTCCGAGGCTCTGCGCTGCTCCGAGGCTCTGCGCTGCTCCGAGGCTCTGCGCTGCTCCTACAGTGAAAAGACGATCAAGAAAGCTCTGCTTTCCCGCCTAGCTGTTCAGAGTCCTATTAGGGAGTAGGGTGTGCAGTGCTAATAGCAGACTCCAGCCACTCATTGCCCTGTGACAACAGAACCAGCTACTATGATCCAACAATTTCCAGAGGCCTGAGCCTCTCCTCTGTGTTTTCCTGGGGAGGAAAGTCAAGAGGTGCCACTGAATGATTTCCCGTCCTGGGCCTGCCCTAGTATCAGGAACCACGTGGGTATCAACAGTAGCCTGCCATCAGCCCTGCCGGTACCTACTGAAAGGATACAGCTCACAATACCCCAAGACCATTTCTCAGCACCAAGGAGATTATTTGCCCCAGAGGGACAGAGGGCAGGGAATAAGAGACAATGAGGGGGGATAGAGGATGAGGGAGAAGGGGAAGGGAACAGGGAGGGGGAAGGGATATTTGTCCTGAAGGAGGACAAAGGACTGCCTCTGGATAAAGAGGACACAGAGACGGCACATAGGCAAATGGTGGTTTATAATAGTAAAAGGGGAAACTCATGTTAGGATGACGTGTTTAATTTTAATTGACTATGTTAATTAGGGCAGCCAAATGGGGGCTTTTGTTTGCAGAACTTAAATACTTTGATAGCTAGACCTTGGTTATCAGCCTCAGGAGGAAGAAGTGGACAAATAAGGGAACAGACCTTGGTGGCTAGTTTTAAGACTATAATCTAATGGTTTTTAGCAAGGCAGAGAGAAAGGGGGAGAAGAGCAAGTCCTGCTAGAGCCATGCTTTCCATACTCAGGATGGCTACAGTCCCTTCATCTACTACTGCCTCCCAGTCATGAAGCTTTGAAAAGCTTCAGAACTTGCCTAAGGCTAGAAAAGAAGAGAAGCCACATTTGAACCCAGGACAATATGCTTCAAATAAAGCCACATTTGTTCAAAAACACAAGCAAAACAAGTTCAAAAACACTAGTTCTTTGGGAAAAAAACCCTTTTCTGAATAAGCTGCACAGTTCCCACAGCTACCACTGAAAATGACTCAAGGCCATGTGCAAGGTCATGACTGTTTTCAAAAGAGCAGCTGCAGACACGAAGCAAATTAGCCTGCAGAGGAAAGTGACTGATGTGCCATGATCACTCTCTGTAATTAAATTTCTCCTCACCACAAAGTAATAGGGAGCATTTTTTTTTTTATTAATTTATTTTGCAATACAATTCAGTTCTACATATCAGCCACGGATTCCCTTGTTCTCCCCCCTCCCGTCCCCCTCACCTTCCCCGCAACCCCCCCCCCCATTCCCATCTCCTCCAGGGCAAAGCCTTCCCCACAGACTGAGGTCAACCTGGTAGACTCAGTCCAGGTAGGTCTAGTCCCCTCCTCCCAGGCCGAGCCAAACAATCCTGCATAGGCCCCAGGTTTCAAACAGCCAACTCATGCAATGAGCACAAGATCTGGTCCCACTGCCTGGGTGCCTCCCAAACAGATCAAGCCAATCAACTGTCTCATCCATTCAGAGGGCCTGATCCAGTGGGGACCCCTCAGCCATTGGTTCATAGTTCATGTGTTTCCATTCATTTGGCTATTTGTCCCTGTGCTTTATCCAACCTTGGTCTCAACAATTCTCGCTCATATAAACCCTCCTCATTCTCGCTAATTGGACTCCCAGAGATCCACCCGGGGCCTAGTCATGGATCTCTGCATCCAGATCCCTCAGTAGTTGGATGAGGTTTCTAGCACAACAATTAGGGTGTTTGGCCATCCCATCACCAGAGTAGGTCAGTTCAGGCTGTCTCTCGACCATTGCCAGCAGTCTGTTGTGTGGGTATCTTTGTGGATTTCTGTGGGCCTCTCTAGCACTTTGCTTCTTCCTATTCTCATGTGGTCTTTATTTACCATGGTCTCCTATTCCTTGTTCTCCCTCTCTGTTGTTGATCCAGCTGGGATCTCCCGCTCCCCCAAGCTCTCTTTCCCTCAACCCTCGCCTTTCATTACCCCCACTCATGTCCAGGCTGTTCATGTAGATCTCATTCCATTTCTCTGTCATTGGGTGATCCCTGTGTCTTTCTTGGGGTCCTGTTTTCCAGGTAGCCTCCCTGGTGATGTGAGTAGCAGACAAGTCATCCTTGTTTCATGTCTAGTATCCTGCTATGAGTGAGTACATACCATGTTTGTCTTTCTGAGTCTGGGTTACCTCACTCAGGATGATTTTTTCTAGATCCATCCATTTGTCTGCAAACCTCATGATGCCATTGTTTTTCTCTGCTGAGTAGTATTCCATTGTGTATATGTACCACATTTTATTTATCCATTCTTCAGTTGAAGGGCATCTGGGTTGTTTCCATGTTCTGGCTATTACAAACAATGCTGATATGAACATAACTGAACAAGTGCTCTTATGGTGTGGTTGAGCATTTCTTGGGTATATGCCCAAGAGTGGTATAGCTGGATCTTGGGGGAGATTGATTCCCAATTTTCTAAGAAAGCGCCATATTGATTTCCAAAGTGGTTGTACAAGCTTGCATTCCCACCAGCAGTGGAGGAGAGTTCCCAATAGGGAGCATTATTGATAAGACTAGTTCTAATGAAGAAACACACACACACACAATGACACTTGATGTTCATGTTCAGAATGCAAGTGTCCAAGCCACCTCCAACTCTAGGTAGAAGTACTGAAACCTGCCATAGTCCGTCCTGCCTAACTCTGTAGACACCTGATTTTTATTGATCCTAGCCAAGATGTGGAGGAAACTCTCTCTATGAATGTTTTGGTCGTCAAGGATTTTTGAAGCTCTTCATGCCTTCGTCTAAAAGCAAGAGCCCACACATCTACTGAGCTGCAGGTATCTCACTTATGTCCCACCCTAGGATTCAGAATCCCACCCTGATCCTCTGAACCCATCCATTCTCACCACAGGCAAACACGTGGTCTGCATCCACCTCCCAGGGAGGCTAGGCTATTACTTGAAATTAAACAAGTCTCTCGGCTATGAAAATCCCTTTGATACCATACCATGCCCTTCCTACTCCCTGGTACATAACGCGTTTCCATCTCCCCCACCCTATATTTATTCATTCAATAAGCATTGGTTAAGCATTAGGTACTAGGAACAGAATGCCAGTACAGCAAAACCTGGGTCTACAGGATTTCCTGACCCAGGAGAAGACAGTAAACAAGTGGTACCACCAACATGTGGCATGCTGTTCACTAGAATAACTGCAAAAGATAGAGCATGAAGCTCAGAAGTTTCATTTTCCCCCAATCAAGGATTGTCACTTTGCAGAACATACCACCAGCCCCCACATCACCTCTCCTCATTATCCACCATCTTGTCTTAGTGGTCCAGGTAAAGTAAGGCTCATAGTTTGAACTTCTCAGGACTTCTAATCAGCACTAACTCCTATGGCCAAGTTAGTTCTTCAGAGATGGCCCCAACTAATGCCTTCTTATACCTCCATTTCCCTGAGTTTCCAATCCACATTGTGGCTGGAATATGTAGCATTATGATACTACAGGTAAAGAAATTCTCTTAAATGGAAAAAAAAGTGGTTTTGCTTAAGGTTTTTTTCCCCATATAGTTGAATTCTCATTGTGTTGCATAATTTTCTACAGAAATTTTGAATTAACACATTAGCAAAGAATAGAGTTTTTTCAACTCTGAGATACCATCTTACACCTGGCAGAATGGCTAAGATCAAAAACACTGAAGACAGCTTATGTTGGAGAGGATGTGGAGCAAGGGGAACACTCCTCCACTGTTGGTGGGAATGCAAACTTGTACAGCCACTCTGGAATCAGTATGGCGGTTTCTCAGAAAATTGGGAATAAGTCTTCCTCAAGACACAGCTATACCAGTCTTGGGCATATACCCAAGGAGTGCTCAATCTTACCACAAGGACA